CCCTTCCGACCCTAGAAACTATGAAACTATGAAACCTCTCCTGTGCCTGGATCCCCACTGTGTGAGGGAGGTTCTGCCCCTCCCCTCGCCCCCCCCCAGAGATCAGGTGGAGCCCTCCCACTGCAGCAGCAAGTCTGCGGTGAGTGGGCATGTCTGGCACCCCCTGCAGCAGTGGGGCCTGGGCAGGGTGTTGGGCTCCCTGCACCTCCTGCTGCGACTGTGTCATCACTGTACGGACCTGGAAGGCTCCTTCATACTGCTAAGCTGGGCTATTTTGTAGTTGTGTTTTTGATTATTCCTCCAAAGGACCTTGCATCTGTCCACATTAAATTTCATCCTGTTAGCTCTAGCCCAACTTTCCAATCTGTTGAGATCCTTCTGAACTGTGCTCACATCCTCCAACATGTTCACAATCCTTCCCAGTTTCATGTCATCCACAAACTTCCTCAAGAAGCTTTCTATGCCAGCATCCAAATTGTTAATAAATGTGTTGAACACCACCAGACCCAGGACAGACCCCTGTGGGACTCCACTCAAAACCTCCTGCCATTCTGATATGGACCTATTAAAAATTACCCTTTGCTTATGTCTATTGACCCAGTTATCTATCCACCTTGTAGTAGTTTTCTCCAGCCACATTTCTCCAATTTGTTTATATAAGCTCATATGTGACCTTTTTAAAAGACTTCTTGAAGTCCAGATATACTATATCCACAGCATTCCCTTCATCCACACAAATAGTTACTTTGTCAAGGAAGGAAGTCAGTTTTGTTTGACACTAATTGTTTTTCATAAATCCATGCTGGCTACTTGTGATCAGCCTTTACTCCTCCAGATGCTTGCAAATGGCCTTCCTTATGACATGCTCCAGTAAATTTCCCAGGTATTGAGATGAGGTATCAATTTGTAGTTCCCAAGGTCCTCTTTCCTGCCTTTTATAAAAAGGGGAATTACACTGGCCCTTTTCTAGTTCTCTGGCATGTGGCACGTCTCCCATGACTGCATGAAAATCATTGACAAGGGCCAAGATCTATGTTGCCAATTCCTTCAAGACCCTGGAATGAAGCTCATCTGGCATTAATTATATTTATTAAGCATTCAAAATTTCTTACAAGCACAACATATACAATACTACTCGCCTTTTTAGATTCTCTTCTATGTATAATACTTTCAATTTGTGTTTTCAGAACAGACAGTACCAATAGTAATTTTCAGTCTTTTCAACAGGCTGAAAATGAGACAACATTAGAGGGACAAAAGCAGTAGCCCTAGTTCCACTTGACAAAATGTAATGCAGTCCTTGCTGAATACCACCTAGCCAATAATGATAAAGCCAGCAAAGTGATTACTTGGAAGTCTGGCAAAAGAAGCTCTCAGACAGTAAAAGCAGACAGATCTGGGCGATAAGCAAGATGGCTTTCATTTGTGTAATTGTCTCAAAATGCAATAAAAATTAAGTGTGTATGCAACAGAACACTAAAAACTGTTTACTCTGGAAGGGTCTGTGGCTAGATCCTAAAGATTGTATGGAATGCTTAGAGCCTTTAAATACTTTAAAACCGGGGAACTGTTCCATAACCAATAATTTCTGAGAACACATTAAAACACACCAAAGAAGAGAAACTGGACAACATCGCTGGTTCGGCAAGTTGTAAGAGAGCTGAAGTTGAGATCCTCAGCTACTTGTTTTAGTGCATTTTTTATTGCTATAGTTAAATTCAACTACCTGCATATGGAAATGGCTGCAATAGTTTGCTATTCTGTACAATAGTTTGTTTTGTGGTGTTTTATTTTTCTGTCCTCTCTCTCTTTAAGCATTAACATGAGCAAAATACGTTATTCTCCCACTCTACTCGACATTGGTGAAGCTGCAGTCTGGAATATTGCATCCAGAAGGATGTGGAGAAGCTTGAGAGAGTCCACAGAAGAGCCAGTCATGATTAGAGGCCTGAAGAGCAAACCATATGAGGAAAGGCTGACAGACACGGGACTGTTCAGCCCAGAAAAAGAAAAGACTTTGTGGGGATTTGGTGGCAGCTTACAAATGTCTTAGGGGAGAGCATCAGGGGCTAGGTGAACAACTATTCACCAAAGTGCCCCAGGGGAAAGCCAGAAGCAATGGTCATAAACTCCTAGAAGAAGGTTTCAGACTGGATATAAGGAAAAATTTCTTCACAGTTTGTGACAAGACTCTGGAAAAGACTCCCAGTGGGGTTGCTGCAGGCAGCTACCCTGGAGATCTTCAACAGAAGACTGGATTCACACCTTGCTGGGGTTATTTAACCCCAGCAATCTTTCCTGCCCAGAACAGGGGGCCTAGACTCAATGATTTCACAAGGTCCCTTCCAGCCCTGAACTTCTATGAAAACTATGGAGCTATTTAAAGCTGTTACGGTGACAATATTTAGATCTTGAGGAGCACTGGATTTGCAACTGAATAAAGGCATGACCTGTGACCTAGCAGAGCTGATGACCACACGGCAGAATAATAGCTAAGCCAGCCATTTCCTTATGCTAAGTAACCATCTTAACTGGGTTAACCATTTTTCTTAAAAAAGCAGCAAATAAGTGTGTGTGCTGTGAACCAGCTACAGCAAGGAACGAGATAAGATACAGGGGCCCAAAAAGGGTGGAAGATGGTAGATGAGACAGAAAAACAGACTGGAATGTGGAAAACAACACATAATTGGTAACAGAACCTGAGATGAACAGATGCAAAAAGGTGAATGGTGATTGGTAAAGAAGCCTCCAGAAGCTTCCAGGTTTTGGTCAAAGCCTGCCCATTGAACGAAGAGCAGGAGTCAAGGTCTTAGACATGTGCTCATAGCAAAAAGACATGTAAATGAATTAAATGCATAGGCAATTCCATGTTAATAAAACAAACAGTAAACAGAGGCGGAGCTTGAGACAGAGGAGAGATGGGTGGAACATAGGAGGGGCGAGGGTAGAATGAATGGTAATGAGCATAAACCAAAGTGTATAAATATGGGAAAAAACTATTGCCAGCAATGTGTGCAAGTAGCGTTTGTTCCCTGTCTGCTCTGGTTAATGAGTAGCAGGACTCATGAGTGATTGGATCGTCATCTCCCTAGTCATTGGGCAACGCGTGGAGTCTGATTCTAACAAAAGCTAATTGTATTCTCACTATATTCTGTCACAATATTTACTCACACTTCCAAAATGTTTGACTTACCACTCCTGGGAATATTTTTTGTAGTCTGTCTGCTGCGGCAAGTGCTTTAGGCTTCCCACCACTGAGACAGTCTTCAAACTCATATAATGGCTGCCGTACAGGATTGGAATAGGAAATGTTTGCATTGTCAACAAATGTAATCTTCCTGACTCCCCAGCCCTAAGCAAAAGGGGAGAGAAATACAAAGAACTGGTAACATTGTAACAACATGAGATAACGAACAACTAACAAACACCTTTCAGTCTAGATCAGCGATTATCAGCCAGGACGCCGCAGCACCCTCAGGTACCTTGAGATCTTTTCAAGGGTGCCACAGGGTGCTACACACTATTAGCACTGTACAAACATGATTCACAGGATAAATCCATTGGTATCAGCTAATAATCCATAGTGTTAGAACCATTCTTACCCACTGTGGACTTTCTGGGCTGCTATACATGTGCAGCAAGGCTGTTCTGATGCACTGTAATTAATCAAGTCTGCGGGAGCATGGTAATTACTACGCTCCAGCAGACTCTGGTGTCACGTACATCAGTGTCCCCGAGCTGAAAAACGGCAACAGGGGCACTAACTAAAGCTCATCAAATGAACTTTCATCGTCTCTCACCCCATCCTAGTTAAAAAACTAGGTGATTGTGGCATCGATGCCTACACAGTCAGATGGATTGCAGATTGGCTGAGGGGTCGCACTCAGAGGGTAGTGGTGGATGGGTCATATTCAACCTGGGGGGAGGTGGGTAGCAGAGTCCCCCAGGGCTCGGTCCTGGGGCCTGCACTGTTCAATTTCTTCGTCAGCGATCTGGATGATGGGGTGGAAAGTAACCTGTTTAAATTCACTGATGACACCAAAATCTGGGGGGAGGTGAGCACGCTAGCAGGGAGGGAGAGATTGCAGAGGGATCTGGATAGGTTACAGGGGTGGGCTAACAGGAACAGGATGCGTTTCAATACGGACAAGTGCAGGGTGCTGCACTTGGGCAGTAGGAACCAGCAGCACACTTACACAATGGGGAACTCCCTACTTGAGAGCACGGAGGCAGAAAGAGATCTTGGAGTCATTATTGACTCCAAGATGAACATGGGCCGACAATGCGAGGTCATGGTTGGCAGGGCTAACCGGACCTTGTCGTGCATCCACAGGTGCATCTCGAGTAGAGCCAAGGAGGTGATCCTCCCCCTCTACGCGACGCTGGTCAGGCCACAGCTGGAGTATTGTGTCCAGTTCTGTGCGCCCCATTTCAAGAGGGATGTGGACAACATGGAGAGGGTCCAGAGGAGGGCCACCCGCATGATCCGGGGACAACAGGGCAGACCCTACAGTGAGAGACTGCGGGACCTGAACCTATTCAGCCTCCACAAGAGAAGGCTGAGGGGGGACCTGGTGACCGTCTATAGACTCACTAGGGGGGACCAGAAGGGTTTGGGGGAGACGCTGTTTCCCCTAGCGCCCGCTGGCATAACAAGGAGTAATGGGCACAAGTTGATGGAGAGGAGGTATAGATTGGACATCCGCAAGAACTACTTCACAGTTAGGGCGGCTAGGAGCTGGAACCAACTTCCAAGGGAAGTGGTGCTGGCCCCTACCCTGGGGGTCTTTAAGAAGAGGCTGGATGCCTACCTGGCTGGACTCGTTTGAGTCCCGTTTCTCTTTTTGGGGTTTTTTGTTGTTCTCCCGCCCTGGCGGGGGGTCGGGCTAGAAGATCTACTAGGTCCCTTCCGACCCTTAATCTATGAAACTTCAGTTAAAGTGCCCCACTGCCATTTTTCAGCACAGAGACACTGATATACATGATGCTCCGAGCCCTTTAATTACAGCGGCTCTTGGAGCCACTCTATTTAAAGTTTTCCCCTCTCCCTCCACTCCTGGAGCATGTGTATAAACATCCTCCGAGTTCTTTGCAACAGAAAAACTACTCTTATTTTTTTTGTAGTCAAAAAATAAGTGAAAACTAAGAGCTATCAATTTCTGAGGTGTGCCTTGATTCTAAAAAGGTTGAGAACCACTGGTCGGTAAGTATATTAGATTTTTAACTGCACTAAAAGTTAAAACAAAATGCTTGAGCTATTACAGTTTTAGAAGCAAATTATGGCAAAAATATTTTCATAGAATCATAAAATGGAAAAATAGGGTTGGAAGAGACCCTGGGAGTTCATTTAATCCAGAACTAGCCAACTTGTAGCATATATGCAACAACTGCATGTGGCAAAACAGGGAGAAGACAGCCAACACAGTGGCAGATAGGGCAGGAAACAGACAGCAGAGCTGCACATAGAGCAGGGAACACAGGAGAGGAAGGCAGAAGGAAGAGCAGTAGATTGGGCAGAAGTATCGGAGTGGCACTTGGGGTGTGTGCCTGATTAATTTGTGGCACGCTTGCAAAAACAGTAGTTCCCCATTGATCTAGTACAAGCCCCTGGCCAAGACAGGATCACACTTATCCAAATCATCCCATTTTGATCACTACAACTAGAAAAAAAAAAGAGTAATATGTATCGATAGATCAAATTATGCTATCAGAGGCAACCTTTCTACCCCTGTTGACTTTTATATGATAAACCAGATGCCCTTGGCCACATGTGCCCTGCAGGGTGCACGATTTTGGGGATCAGATCCCAAAGGCAACCAGCATATGATCTTGGGCTCCCTGTGCACTAGCAAACTGAAAGCTGCACATAGTGCCACCCTACATGGGGCAAGTTGTTCTACATTTTATGTAATATCTGCCAGGGTCCCTTAAAGGCAAACCTTGTATAATTATAAAACTGTAATTTCAAGTATTTTCAATTTGGCTTTGTTCGCTTAATTTTTTTGAGGACTCTCCAGTTCAGCCTTTTCCAGCAATGCAACTTGAAGAGCACATTATCTTTTTTTGTTATGTTATCACATTTACAGAATTGCAAGTTATTCTGGGGAAGGCGAAGTCTCGAGTAGCTCATATATGTTGATTTCATTGGATACTTAAGCACAGGGCTAGAAAACATGTATGAAACATCAGCCCACCTTTGATTCAATTGGAACTTACCATTAAAGTTCTGGCAACGCTACACCCGAGCGTACCAGCTCCAAGCAGCAGACACTTAGCAGATACAACCTTCTCCAAGTCAAGTGTAGGCACTAGCCGCCAGCACATCAGTTTGAGATTAAGATCTACTGATGACTCAGCTAACCTGTGAAGTTAAAAACAAAGCAAGATCACTCTTAATAATGAATTTGAGAGGCCAGTTTTCCTTTCAATGCCACTGCCAGATAAAAGATGCATATGATTTGCCACCCTAGCTTTCTAACTTGTACAAATCTTCTCCTTGTTCCAAGCAGTATGCCACCCCAATCCCACACACACATTATTATATACACCTGCAAAGAGCAGTGTCATTTGTTGCATGGCAGTTTTGCAAAAGATAGCAAAGCAGGCAATCAGTTTTCATTTGCAGACTGATATTGCATTTTACAGTCTGTAAGTATCCCTCTAAAGCACTGGTCAGATCAGATCGCTGCAGCTTGTACACAGAGGAGACAAATATAGGAGCTTTTTTTCACCTGTAGGAGTCAGATCTCCTTAAAGCTGATTCTTCATTTAAAATGTTTCTCTGCTTCCCATCTTAAATCTGAGTTTGATTTTTATCACTTCCTTTCAGCAAAAGGAATTTGATCTGCATTATATATGGCTCTCTCTTAAACACACAGCTTTCTAAGGAATGGCTTGAAATAATACTATTCACCTGTATACCTCAAAGGAAGAAAGAATGGAAATTTTTACACAAAAAATAAAATTTATTCAATAAGGATTTGAAGCTACAAGGTACTGAGCACTCTAAGATTTCACTGATTTCAGTGGAAGTTGAAGACATTCAGCCTGTCGTGGAAGCTCTCTGCACCTTAAAGATACAAAACCTAAACAAAACCTGAATTTAAGTCATGAAATTTACCAATGGCACATTCTCTGTACTGGCTATCCTGGCTTTATTTCCGGTCAGTTCAGCAACCGGGTACATAACTTTAAGTGTCTTCAACAGTAATGCTATGTTTAAAAATTATGAAGAACAATAAGAACATGGACAACAGCTTGTCTTCAGCTTAATTTTGAAAAATAACCAATTTGAACTTTAATTTAGTACCTTACCTTGCAAGTACTTATTTCTGGTTGTAGGGCTTTTTACTGAGAAGTCCCATTATCTTCAATTGGATCTTTCAGGGGAGTATGTATGGCAAATGGTAATAACTGAGGCCAGGACTGGGCACTAATATTATTGCAACAACATTTTTCACTAGACAACCATCTGAGAAGCACACTGTTCACTTCATCTATTTCATCTGCAGTCCGATATAGCTGAGACCTGCCTATCTTATTAAAGGTTTAAATCAACACACACCTTTTAGGATCCATGCATTCACTGAGATTCACCATTCTTGGACCCATGCCTCCTTTTTGGTTCTTCTCCCATCCAACAGCTTTTGGACAATCTACTTGTTAAAACAAATGCACACAATTAATTTTTACCCTGCCAACATTTTTCTGAAACTCTAAATGAACTCAGAATGTTAAGAAATACAGCTCTTCATGGCAACATATGGTTAAAATTTGGCAGTGAGTGACACTTCCAGAATGCTGTGCTTTATAACATGCTGCTTTAAAAGTTTTAGCTAAAATATGTTTTCTTCATCTAAACTGGGTATCTAGATGCTGAACCTAAGTAGACTCAGCTGCACTTGATTAGCTTAAAGATGAGACTGTCTGTTGGAGCAGTATCTGGAGTCCCCTGGGAATTAACCCTTCAGCCCCCAGATATCTGGATATGTAAGCCTCTTAAGAACACCACTTGGCAGGGCACAGCAGAATGTCAGGTTCCCTCAAGAGGGAACCAATTGGACTGCTCTCCAAACACGTGCAATTTATAAATTTCAGATTAAAATCCAATATAATATTGAGAGCTGACAAACAATTACAAAATTAATCACAATTAATTGTGAGTGTAAAAAAAAGTTGCGATTTTGATTACACAGTTAAACAATAGTCACCACCTTCCCTCCCAATCCCTCTCCCCACCACCAGCCTGGAGCCCATGCACCCTGAGGTTCCTCCCCCAGCCCACACAGCCCAGCCCCGACTCCAGTCTGCCCCACACCTGCTCTGGACTCACACTGGTCAAAGCAGACTGGCCAGAACCCGTGCAAACAGCCCTGACCCTGGCCCACCCTGTGCCTGCTCAGACTCACTAGCCCATGCTGAGCAGCAGCAGCAGCACCTGAGCAGAAGCTGCTGCTCAGTGAGGGGGAAAACCTGCCCCTCCCCCTTGCCACTGCCAGGCCCTTCTCGCTGCACCTGCCCAGAGCCCGTGCCCAGGTTGCCCTGCAACTCCTTTGCACTGCCACTGGGTGGCCTGTAGGCAACAGTGATAGCAGTGGAGAGAAGCCCAAGGCAGCCCAGGCACTGGCTCTGGGCGGCTGCAGCAAAAAGGGCCCGGCAAGGGGGAGGGGCAGCTTTTCCCCCACACCAAGCAGCAACTGCTGTGGCTGCCACATTTTGGCCAACCTGCTTAAAATGGACGTGTGCAATTAACGTTCATTACAAAAATTAACACGTTAATTTGTTTTGCATTAATTGCGTATGTTACCTGCAATTAACTGACAGCCCTAATAATATTTAAATATTATTATCTGTAGATGCTCTACTTTTAGCATATTGCACACAAACAAACCATGCCCAGCACTTTTCAGATAGAGACACACATGAAAGGGCGGTTGACTTTATTAGGAGTGATTATATGTGATTTATTGTGACCACATATGCGAGCCTATTAATTAATCTTTTTGTATATCCATGCTGATCTCTCTCAAGATTATTATATGTAATAAACAACACAATTCAATCCTCACAGTCAGAAAAAAGGAATGCAAGTCAGAACATCCAAGCCTCAAAGCTGCAAACAACTAGAAACTTATAGTATATAGATAATTATCTGCAGAATTGTGTGTTAAGTGAGCATCACCTCCCCATGTCTCCATGTTTCTTTCTGTAAAGTAAGTAGAATGATATGTGGCAATTGTGGCTTTTGCCCAACTATTATTTGTTAAGTACAGCGCTCCTTCTAGGAAAGGAGCTATATTGTGATGAAATGTTATCCACAACCACCAAGGTGCTCTCAGTCTACAAGTGTGTTGTAAATGCCTTCAAATGTTAACACCATGAATATAGATCCAACTTCCCAGCTTACATAACAAGTGAGATGCTTATAGTTTTATAAATCCACCCTCTGCTCCCATGAGAATCTAGTTTCATATCATTAAAATGATCAAGCATATCTGTGACAATACACAGTTTAAGCATGTAATAACGCAAGATACTACAGATTATGTATGCACTGTAACAGATACTACAAGTCACATTATTCCTACAATAAAAGTAAATGCAGAAAGGTATTGAGATGAGAGAAAATTGATTTTTATTCATGGAAACACATCCACTTTCTGGAAGATAAACCTATTTTCTTTATAGAGACACCTGAATAATTTAAGATGCACAATAGCTGAGGCAGGTGCTAACGTATGCAATGATTTAGCAGCATTAATCCTTTTATCTCTAAAGTAATTATAGAGAACCAAGTCAAGTAACTCTGAAAGTGGATTACCTGGACTCAGTGCCAGCTGTGAAAGCTTTATTTCAAAGATGATACTGTGCGTTACATCTCTTACCCCCTGCATGGTTCTGTCTCTGAAGCAGAGCACTTCAATTGAATGGAGATGACTACCCCTGGCATTAAAAAAAACAAGGAAGTTATAAGTGATATAGAATTTCTCCAAGAGAGAAAGGAGGAGCAGTTAAGCAGGAACTTCATTTTAATAGTCCTCTAGTTTGATATAGCTGTAATCCTTTAAAGACTCTGAAAATGACCAATTTTCTAGTGGTATGAGTCCCATGTAATAAAGTGTGTAAACAGCCAACAGCCATAAAGAAACCTCCAAATCCCCTACTATATCAGCAAGATGAAATATCCTGTGGTTCAGCTACACCACAGAAGTCCAGAATGCAGCCTCAATGTTTAATGCCACAGTCTGCATAGGATACTTAGTGCTAGTTACACTGATCTCAAGGCACAAAACACAAGACAAGCCCCAGAGTACCATTTAAACAAAGTTAAATTGTCAGATCATCACAACTTGCTGTCCTACTTCCTCTAGACTCAGTATGCTTCTCAAGGTCCCTGTTCTGATAGAGTTTTTTTAATCCCTCTTACCCTCTTAGCTCCACCTCCAACTTAATAAAGGTGGGATGACTGAGGCACCAGTCCCAGGTCAAACCCTGGAGGAGTGAGGCACCATGAAAGCAGAACATGCACTTCCAGCATTGCCACCTTGGTACTGCATGGCTGCTGACACTGCCCTATTCACAGCTGCTGCTCAGGGCACTCAATGGCTCAGTTATGCCTCCGACCCCCATTATTCATTATTCCTTTGTTATTAGGTGTGCAGGGAACAATATTTGCGATTGCCGTACTGCATGACAGGCATAAATATGTTCTAGCCACACATACTGGAAAAATACAGTTACTGTACCAAGATGAAGGTTTATTTTCTCACTGCATCTATTACTAAAGCAGTCAAGTAAAAATACGAAGTTGGCAAGATAAGCTTTAGCAAAAACCACCCAATGTTAGGTGGCTATTTTTGTCATACAAAGACAACGTGTCAAATTAAAAAGCCCCAAATATTCGGCAAGGTACAGGCAGAACCATGTCAGCATTAGTTCTCCAGAGTCTCTTGTCACTCAGAAATGTTATTCTGTGAAGTGAGACAGCTCTCAGTAGCACATGCATTCGTATCAAGTCGTTCCTATACGAACACAAGAATCCAGAGCACAACCTGCTTTCAGGTTTTGCTTCTATTCAGTCATGCAAAAGCTTACAGCATTCTGAAGTGGAAGTTGCTGCTCATTAGTTTAAACTCGGTTTTAAAAATCCTGCAAATTCCTCAGAAAAATCCTCTCTGACACACATTGCACTTCTCAGGAATAAGTCTGTACTACAGGCAGAATAGCAGCAGGTGAAGTTCTGTTTTGAGGGAATTTCAAAGTGAGGAAGTTTAAGTACAGGCAATAAGTCTGGAAATGAACCAATAAAAATGGGGAGGAAGGATGACTCTGAGCAGCACATGATAATCTGATGGTTGGAGCTGGACCAGCCCCTTTTCCTCACTCACTAAAATCAGGGGGATAGGTAGCGGGGGAAGAGCAAGTGCAGGAAGGTCAAAAGCAAGTTCTCATACACAACTGAGAAATCTTGCCTCTTATTTGCAGAGAACCATTCCCAACAAGTTCTTGGAAACATTCTACATTTTGACTTTTTCAGTTACTTCTGTATGTTTCAGGGAACAAAGTTAGGGCTGAGGTGGGTTGTGCATGTCAAGTGGTGTTAGAAAAAAAAAGATAAACAAGTACCATCTCTGGGCTGCCAGAACCAGTATATTTCTAAGTGGCCATCCTGGATACTGGGCAAAATTGCCTGGATCATAAACTCCAATTGTCACCTGAAAATAAAAACAGTGCCACTGAATATTTAATTCATAATAGCATATAGGCCATATTAATAGTTGCTATGCATTTTTATATTAAAACGTTATAACCATGAGAGATCACATTGGATGCTATCTTTCTCAATGTAATGCTTACCACAGCTTCCAGATTTATTCTTTTGGCCACCTAATAAGACACATACTTCACAGAAGCATACATATTCTCCAAGTTACTTACGTACCTATTACAGAACCTGTAGAAGCCTATCAATTACTCAGATCTTTTTCAATTCTTAAGCAAGCCTCCTAATTAATTTGGTGGATGATCATGAACTAAAAGCACACAGGCTATCAAACGCTGAGCTAACAAATAAGATAAAATCCCTGGCTAGGACAATCCACTACAGAAGCACTTAAATAACTGGGTCTTAATTTGAGGTACTGATGTTTCCTTCCAAAATAAACATGAAGTTTTGTGAGGAATGTGCCCCCACAGGTAGTTGGGTATTCTTGCCTTTGATAGTTTCTGGTGTGCAGGTTTTGTGTTTTGAGCTGTAGGAAGTTGGCTTCTGGTGACGAGGTTAGGTTAGCAAGGTTTGGTGCTTGTATCAATTTACAAACCACTTTTCAGAGCCGGGCATATGTACTTCACTTCATCAACCTCCTAGGTACAGAAACTCATGGACTCAATATAGACAGTGGAATCCTGACACACTACAACCTGCAAGACATCTGATTCCCCAGGTACCTCTCCATATTTACCTGCACTGCTACATCCCTTTTCCCCGCCCCCCTCCCCAGCTTGTCCATCACCCCCCGACACCTCCATTTCCATTTTCACTGACTTTCTTGCCTGCATTGCATGCCAGACCAACCTCTGGCATCTTTACTATTCCTTCCATCCAGTAACACCACACAGACCAAATGCAGGTGCTTCCTCAGCCTGACGAAGGGTTTCTCAACCTGAAAGCTTGCTAAGATATACTTCTCTAACTATTTAGTTGGTCTACTAAAAGATACCAGATTGACCCAAAGGAACTGGCCGACCAGTTCCTTTGGGTCTGCCAGTTCCTTAAACCAACACCCCTAGCACCTGTCCCCGGTCAGCTAACAGGAAGGATGCAGGGCCCTGGGCACATGTAAGCCCCAGGACTGCGGCTGCCAGAGAGTGTTCTCTGGCAGCTGCTGGAAAAGAAGCTCCTGCAGGAAAGGAAAGAAAGGCTCTCGTCTGTGACAGCTTGACTGCCTGAGATGCTAGTGCTACTGTGCTGCAGTGCACTGCTTACCTGTTGTCATTTAAAGTGGTGGACTGGGCTGAGGCTGGAGGGGAGGAGGAAGCCTCACTGGGGCACACTACCATGTCATGTACAGGCCCCAAAGCCAGTGAGGGCACACCTTAACACACAGTGTCACCCATGTCATGAGTTTTGCTTGTCAGCAGCCTGAGGTCCCGTTTCCCTCAAACCCCTGGTACCTATCTCCTTGAAACTTGGCAGGCTTTCATGCCCTCAGAAGCAGCTACCTTTCCTGCAATTTTTATCTGAATCAGCCAAAAAGTGACCAAGTTATAAGTATTTCAGTGATTCCCCATTATACTCTACAGCCAAATATCCCCAAATAGGTGCTGAATCTTCTGAAGCTGATTTGGCCAAATTGATTCAGGACAGTGATCTGAACCTCCAAATCAAATCACTCTCTTCTGAATCAGCAGAATCAGAATCAAATACTTCCCTATTTGCATAGGCCTACTGCCAAATACGCAGGCAGTCTTCCATGACCCTAGGGTGCAGAGTCAATTTTGGCTGACTTGGGCTGCCGAGGGAACTTTCCCCTGTAATTTACAGGAGGTACAGCCACAGTTTGCCTCTTTACATGAATGTTCCCAACATTCTTTCAAAAGTTGCAGATCTCTAAGGTTTATGCTAATGTGACCCTCCCTTCTTGCCCTGACTACAGAACAGCAGAAGGTATACAAGGTGGCCACTGGAAGCCTCACTGCCTGTGCTGTAGGAGATGGTCCTGTCTCATGACTTTAAGTCACTGGGCCTTCCCATGAGACGTGGGCTTCCATGAGAGAAAGGTCTCATGTTACATCAGAAGACTGGATTATATCAGTGCTTTACTGGATGAGAGAAAGGCCTCATGTTACATCAGAAGACTGGATTATATCAGTGCTTTACTGGATGAGAGAAAGGCCTCATGTTACATCAGAAGACTGGATTATATCAGTGCTTTACTGGATGAGAGAAAGGCCTCATGTTACATCAGAAGACTGGATTATATCAGTGCTTTACTGGATGAGAGAAAGGCCTCATGTTACATCAGAAGACTGGATTATATCAGTGCCTTGCTGGAATGACAAGCTTGTGGGGCTGCTTTACCCTTCAACTCTCACTGCCAGAGATGCCTTACTATTTTCAGTTAACTGCCTCCTCTCCTCTCTCACCTCAATCTCTACCAAAGCTTGATCTGTCTGCTATTCTGAAGAAAAATTCTTCTTCAGCCCTTGGGAGGAAATGACCACATCAGAATCTGGGACACTCTCTGACTGTGGTATGGATGCTGGGTGATGGGATACATTCTTGGAGACCTCCAGCCCTGTCCGCAAGGTGTCAAGATCAAGCTGCAAAAGCTTGTAAACTTTTCCCAGGACTTTTAATAATACAACAGCAAGGACTCGCTGAATGAAGGGAAGGACCGCTGGCTCTAAATCTCAATGCACCCCTGTCCATAACTTGCAGTTGTTATCATTCAATAACTCAGCTCTTGTGGGGAACAGGCCTTCCAGGCCTCCTCCCCTTTCTCTCACTATCTTAGCTATCTGTGCCCTGCTCTGGGCACTGGCTCTGCCCTGCTCTGGGGCCTGCCTCCACCTTGCTCCAGGCACTGCTGGTATCTCTTCCTCCCCAAAACTATGAACCCAAGACACCGTTTCATAAAACGAAACAGAAAGTCAGGGTAGTGCCTTAACTAAACATACCCCACACTGGGTACGCTAGCTTTATAACAGAAAGGAGACACAGTAACTTTAACACAAGCTGCCTTAGGCTCAGGCAATCATGCAACCAAAGGAAAACGACTGACCTTTTGCTCCCTATTAAGCACAACTTAACAGGGAGATGCTTGTGTTAAGCAGCTCCTTTTTACACACTCCAGTCGCCTTCCTTTCTCCCCCCCACCCCAAGGGAATACCAGTTTTGCTAGCACTGTGCAGTCCTAGTGTAGTGTGGGTACCCTGGCATTCCCCAGTTGGGCTGGCATCCAGCCATTCCCTCCAGAGAGCTGGGACCTGGCATTCCCTCCGGGTGCCTTGGATGTCAGTGCTCAGAAGCACTGTAGTGAAGAGAGATGGTGGCAGGACAAGGGCATGGGAAAATAGCAGCCTGACCCGCTGCTCCTCCTCAAGACTTGTGCCAGTAATGCTGACTTGCCCAAAGGGCTCATACATTTGCTCAGCAGTCCTGAATAGAACATGGGTCTTTTCAGCTATGGCTGGGCTAGGCCTTGGGCCAGAGCCTTCTAGCATTCTTCCAGGTCAATGTTACTGCTGTCACTGGACAGCTCTGGCTCCATCAGAATTAACAACTAAGGGCGGGGGTTCAGTGGAGTAGTCTCTAGCAAGGAGCCATAGACAGCTCCTCCTAGTATGGGCATGACACCTGCTGGGTACTTAAAATACAACTTGTATCATGGGCTCTCTTGTACCATACCTTCAGTACCTTCACCTTGGTCTAGCACTGGTGCCAGTCTTGGCCGTTCCTGCAAGTTGCCATCTCTTCTGTGATTTGTTTATAAAGAACCTGGGTCTCATGGCTGTTCCTGAGAGACCTTTGAGAGCTCTCCTCATTCAAGATAAAGAAGGTGTTCATGACCCTATGCTCACCTACAGTTCATGCAAAGCTTCACAGACAAAGACATTTTTCAGGTGCAGGCAGTGTGGTGCATAAGTGGATATGTTCTTGAGATAATGTTGCGTTTGAGAAGCCACGTTCCAGGGGTGCTGGTCCCAAAAGTGGTGCTGCAGCATACCTTTGCACCTTGCTTTACAAGGCAAAGTCACATGCACAGTCTATGACTCCAAGGGTGTGGAGTTGGGAGCAAGTCAGAAGGGCTATGCTGGGAGGGGCCAGAGGTTGAAAGTAAGAGTACACCAGACCAACCAACTCCCTAATCAAGCTCTGCTGGAAGGTACACACTTAACATGAAACATGTCATAGTAGAGCACTTCAAAGTCATTCCTATTCCTGTTTCATCTAGGGTTATTTATTTGGTTCAGGCCAATTTGTAGAGCTTCAATGCTATGCAGAGTCTGTTCCCTCAGTTTTTAGAGTGCTTTAAAAGCACTTGGTAACTTCAGAGCTACAAACATTACATCTGTCCATGCTTTAAGATAAGGTTAGTCAGGAATAAAAGATGACACCGATGAATTTCAGAAAGACCCAAAACAAAATTAAGCAACCGAACAACATGGTGACAAATTTATCAGTGTCAGCAGTAAGTACAGAGTACGACAGAATTAGGCTGCTTCATGCATCATCAGGGAGGAAATTCTTTTTTTTTTTTTTTTCCCACTACAAGTAACACACAGTGCTTCACACTTAAAAGCAAAAATGCAGAGAAAGATTAAATCCACATTCAGTCCACCTGAGACCCTTATATCTATATTTGAACAATGTAAAGATTTTTCCAGTGGCTTTAAAAAAGGGAGTCAGGTTTTTTAAAGCTTTTGTATTACTGCTGGGACTCCAGAAGATGCTGCTTCTCAACATTTTTCTATGACAAAAATGACCTTTTATAGGTCACTTCTATGTAATATTTTGCTGTTGCACTGGCATTACAGACGAATAGAAACAAGGTGTTCCATGCTCCTGTAAAGTTCTAGGCTCCCTAACGTGCAGGCAAATTAAGAGTAAGTGTGCTTTTCCACCTCACTCCACTAGGGAAGAAGATCTTCTCAGCCAGAATGCTGACCTGTTCGACAAGGCTTTAAATTAAGCTTGCTGGGGGATGGGCGAACAACCACTGGAGCAAGCTCACCAAGCATCAACCACAAGATCAGCAGGTTAGGATGCTCAAGGAAACCCACTCCTACCCCAGCCCAGAAACAGAGCTTCTCCATGAGTACAAGGAAGCCTAGGGCCTCCCACAGCATACTTACTTGCCTGTACACTAATGCTAGGAGTTTGGGGAATAAAGAAGAGGAACTGGTTCTTCTGCTAAACAAAAATGACTACGATTTTATAAGGATAACAGATCTGGTGGGACTCCTCTTATGACTGGACTATGGGTATAAATAGCTATACTCTGAACAGGAGAGATTGTGCTGAAAAAAGGGGTGGGGGTGTAGCTCCTTACGTGAAGGAGATCTAAATGTCCTTACAAGCTGAGACTGGCAGCCAAGGAGGACAACTGGAGACCCTTTGGGATAGAATATGACTGAAGGGGATACAACGCTGGGAGTCTACTACAGACCTCCAAACCAGGAACAAGAGCTTGACCAAGAATTCACCAGGGAACTGGCCAACGCTGCACGCTCTCAGTGCATGTTTGTCATGGGAGACTTCAAATACCTGGACATCTCATGGGAAGAGCATTTGGCCAAATCCGATTGGTCTCAAAGCTTCCTTACATGCGTGGATGAGCTCTACCTGTCTCAAGAAGTTTATGGACCAAAAAGAGGTAGAGGTGCTGCTGGACCTGGTACTGGCCAAAGGGGATGATCTAATCAGCGACCTAGGAATCGAAGGGAAGCTGGGTGACAGTGACTATGAGTTCATCACTTTCACTATCCATCGCAAAGCTGACAGCTCAGCCAGCAATGGAGTAGTCCTCAACTTTAGGAAAGCTGAATTTCATAAGCTCAGGAGGCTTGTTCTTGAGGCCCTGAGAGGCCATGATTTCACAGGGAGGGGAGTTCAAGACGAGTGGTTGCTCCTTAAGGAAGCAATCCTAGAAGCACAAGGGGAGTCCATCCCAACCCATAGGAAAGGTGGTAAAAGGGCTCAACAACCCCCTTGGCTCAACAGGGAACTCACAGACCTCCTACATCTAAAAAGAGAGGCTTATAAAGGATGGAAGACAGGAAACACCACTAAGGAGGAATATTCTACACTGGTCCTCCCTTGCAGGGAGCAAACTAGGAAAGCCAAGCCAATTGAACTCCAACTGGCTACATGAATCAAGGACAATAAAAAGTCCTTCTTCAGATATGTGGGGCATCAAGAGAAAAACAAGGGCAACACTGGACCTCAATAAACCAACTGGGGCAGCTGACTACTGACACCCAGGAAAAAGCAAATCTGCTTAATAATTACTTTGCATCAGTTTTCATCAGCCCAAAGGGATCATCCTGCCTAACATGATGTGGGATGACCAGGGTGAGAGTGAATATATGACCACCATTGGCATGGATCTTGTGAGGGAACATCTTGAGAGGCTGGACCCCACAAATCAGCTGGTCCAGATAGACTGCACCCAAGAGTGCTAACAGAACTGGCAGACATCATAGCGCAGCCACTGGCAAGGATATTGGAGAACTCATGGAGCTTGGGTGAAGTACCTGAAGACTGGAAGAGAGCCCATGTGGAGCCCATCTTCAAGAAAGGGAGGAAAGAAGACCCAGGAAACTACAGGCCAATCAGTTTGACTTCAATCCTTGGGAAGATTTTTGGAAAAAATGAGCAAATAAACCATTCTTGACAGGCTAACAGAAGGCAACTTTCCGAGGGATAGCCAGGACGGGTTTGCTGTGGATAGGTCTTATTTGACCAATCTCATTTCCTTCTATGACCAAGTGATGTCTACGACCTGGACAAAAGGGAAGAGGTTGATATATATTTGGACTTTAAAAAGCCTTTGACCTGGTGGTCCCATGATGTTCTCACGGAAAAATTGGGCAACTGTGGCCTCGACTACTCCACAGTCCGATGGCTGGGGAACTGGCTTTGGGGTCAGATCCAGAGAGTGGTAGCTGATAGAACTGAATCAACATGGCATTCTGTGACTAGTGATGTTCCCCAAGGCTCCATTCTCAGATCTGTACTCTTTAATGTCTTCATAAATTATCTGGACACTGGTGTCAGAAGCAGATTGGCTAAGTTTGCTGATGACACCAAACTTTCATAGATTCATAGATTAAGGGTCGGAAGGGACCTAGTAGATCTTCTAGCCCGACCCCCCGCCAGGGCGGGAGAACAACAAAAAAAACCCCAAAAAGAGAAACGGGACTTTGGGAAAGAGTGTCCACACTTGAGGATAAGCTGGTGATCCAGGCCAGCCTCAATAGGCTTGCAAGGTGGGCGGATGAAAACCTGATGGCATTCAATACATAGAAATAGAAGGTGCTCCACCTCAGGGAAAAAAAAAAACCTGCACCACACTTATAGGCTCAGCAATGCTACACTTGCTAGCACCATAACCGAAAGAGACCTGGGGGTCATGACTAATTAAAAGATGAACATGAGCCACTAATCCAATACCGCAGCTGGCAAAGCAAACAAAACTCTGGCTTGCATCTACCAATGCATCTCAAGCAATACCCAGGATGTCATCCTCCTGCTGTACTTGACTTTGGTGAGGCCTCAGCTGAAGTACTGCATCCAATTATGTGCTCCGCAATTTAGGAAGGACACGGAGAAGCTTGCAAGAGTGCAGTGGAGAGCCACACACATGATCAGAGGGCAAGAGAACAGGCCTTATGAAGAGAGGCTGCGAGCTATGGGACTTTTCAGCCTGAAGAAGCGCAAGCCCGGGGTCACTTCGTGGCAGCCTGTAAGTACATCAGGGTTGTGCATCAGGATCTGTGGGAATGCCTCTTCACCAAAGCACCCCAAGGGATGACAAGGTCCAACAGTCACAAACTTCTGCAAGACCATTTTAGGCTAGATGTAAGGAAAAACTTCTTTACTGCCCGAGCCCCGAGGGCCTGGAACAGACTTCCCCCAGAGGTGGTATAAGTACCTACTTTGGACACTTTTAAGAAACATTTGGATGCTTATCTTGCTGGGATCCTTTGACCCTAGCTGACTTCCTGCCTCTTGGGCAGGGGGCTGGACCAGATGATTTTAAAAAGGTCCCTTCCAGCCCTAATGTCTATGAAATCTATGGAATTTTTAAGTATGCTTTTCACTTGTATAACACTATACATGGGCAAAGAATTTTGGAAATGACAATTCCTCTTAACACCCAATTATTTTTATCTACAAAATGCTGAAAAAAACTAACACAGAACAATTAAAGAATCAAAGATTTAAACTATTTGAAACTATTTTGTGATGCTGAGACTTTTGGCTATTCCACTAATACCATTTAGGCTTAAGCACCTAGAATTCCTGGGAGCTGCTGTGTAGTGATTTGACCATTGTCTACTCAGCAACTGTACCTAGTAAAAACATAATTCAGAGAGTTGGTAGATTCAGCACAATCATTTCTTGTATATTACAACATCCAGAATTCTTCTTACCTTCTCCCCTGGATCTTGGAAAAATTCATTCCAATTTTTAAGCAGGGACATCAAAACAGAATTATTGTGATACTTGATTAAAAAGCAAGGCAAAGCTGTAACTCCTTCTTTCTGGCAAAGTTCATCATATGCCTTCTGGAGTGCTTGAATCTGAAGACAAAAGATTTATTAATAGGCAGTTAGAACTACCCTAATCAACACCTTTTTATTATTACTTTGCACTGCTGTAAACGTAGCGATGGAGAAAAGTTAAAAAGAGCTTGCGACAATGGAAAGCTCCTGGGGCTGTAGAAGACAGAAATAGGAGCACTGGTCTCAGACTACAGTACAGGAAGTTTAGGTTGAAAATTAGGAAGAACTTTGTGATTATTAGGGTGGTTAAGCATTAAAACATGCTCCTTAGGAAACTTGTGGAATTTCCATCCCTGGAAGTTTTTAAAAGTAAGTTAGATAGACACTTGGCTGAGATGTTTTAGTCAGGATGTTCCTGTCTTGAATGGGAAGCTAGACTAAATGACCTCATGAGGTTCCTTCCAGCTCTAAAAACCTATAATAAATCCATTCTAATTGTAGTGTGACATGGGCAAACTCCCAGGCCCAGTCATAGTTCCAGCCTGTCACCTGTCTTTGGGCAAGCCACCTATGTTACTTTCCTGCCATGCCTTGTTGTACATTAATCATGATGTTAAATTAGATGGGAGGCTGGCCTTCAAGCACCCTGATATTCACAGGCAGTAAACACACAACTCCAACCTTCCCTTTATCATGTCCCATGCCTCGCAGATGTCATCTCTGAGCTGGTCTATGCTACGGCCTGAGGCCAGGTAAACTCAGTATACAGTTAGACCTCTCTCATGCTGCCCTGTTGAGGGCCTCACTCATACAGCCCCCCTCTCACAAGGCCTCTATCACTCGTGTCCTTTACCGGGCCTCACTCACTCTGCCCTGCTTCCTTAAGCGACCATGTGGATCATCACTCAGGCTGACCCCTTCTCTTCTTGACCAGCCTTTTGGGCCTGTCCCGCAACCCTTATATATGTGGAGGCTGGGCAATAGGTCAAACCCTGGGCTGACTTCGCCTCTAGCCCCAAACCAGGTAACTCATCCCCCATTGGGGCCAGTCACTCCATTTTACTCGCGGCTCCTTCTGTGCTGCCTACTCAGCCTTAGGCCCGCACACAGCCTCAGGCATCTGAAAAATTACCTGGGCCTCAGTGAGGCCAGGGTCTCAACTCTCCTCTCCCCCATCCTGGGGCTTCAGGGTCTTACCCTCCAACAGGCTTAAGTGTCCCTCACTCGGGCGTACCTGGCTCCACTATTCTCCCTGGGCTCAGGTGCCCCTTGTTGGGTGTGCCTGGCCCAACTGCTCTCTGGGGTCTTACACCCCTACAGGGTCAGATGCCGCATAGAATCATAGAAGTAGGGTCGGAAGGGACCTTGTAGATCTGCAAGTCCGACCCCCTGCCTAGGCAGGAGAAAAACTGGGCTCAAATGACTCCAGCCAGGTAGGCTGGCAAAGGGATAAGCCTGAGTGATGACCCACATGGTCGCTTAAGGGGCAGGGCAGAGTGAGTGAGGCCTGGTAAAGGACACGAGTGAGAGAGGCCTGGTGAGAGCAGGAGTGATAGAGGCCTTGTGAGAGGCCTGGCATGTCTGGCCCCAATTCCTGCTTGGGGATCAAGTGCCTGCTCCCTACTTCTCTCTGATCTTATAAACCCACCAGACTTACCTCCATGATGTTCCTTGAACAGCAGGGAAGCTGGGTGGTGTTGCTCCCTTAGCTGCTGGCAGCAAACTGCTGCCCCCACCCTGAGAACCAGGATCTTAAAATGGATGCCTCATCAGGGCTAACCTGCACCCGTGTGTTGCCTGCTCGCCTCAAAGTGGCAGACACCAAAGGTGCTCTGTCGCCCACCTTCTCCCTTAAAATTGGTTCCTGGGGGAGGCTTTTCCCTGCTACACCCAAGGCAGGCTCACTCAGAGTCTGCAGCAGCTGTTAAGTGATGAGCACTCCATTGGTGTGCTCCCTCCCCCTTAAAATGTCTCCTCAGAGGCGTCTCCTGGGTGTCCTTCTTGCAGGCCCTTCTCCGTACTAAGTGGCAAACACCCCAATTGTGCTCTGCCACAGTAGAACCAGCAAGAGAGAGCTATGTACTCTGATCTGTTTTTAAGTCATGAAAATTAATTTTACAGGATCAGATACTAACAACAAGTTCATCACAATAAGTTCACACATCAATTCAACGTACTTTGGTACCTCAATTGTTTATTTCAATTGCTGTTTTTGACAAATACAGCATAATAATCAAATATGCTAGAGAAGAGGTTATATATTTTTCTAATACTCATTTGTAACCAATCACGTAGAATATTCTTATAAGAACACATCTAAACCATTTTTAGGCATATTAATTGTACTCCACTATAAAGGAGGCTAAGTTGCTTTGTGCAACTTGTGTTACTCTGTACTGATTTGAATTAGCAGCTCTTCCACAGCCCCTCACTATGGGGTTCTACTTCCTACTGACTTTGGTGGCATTAAAATTGCTGTAACATTCTACATTAAACTCCATTTCAAATCAAAAGGTACAACTGAAAAGTTTGAAAATTTCCTATTATTTTTATGTAAAAAGTCTCCGATTGATTTTTCTACTTCCCTATTCAGTTACATATCTAACATTTTCCAGAATATTTCTAGAATTTTTCTAAATCAGAAGAATGATGATGTTCAATTTATTTTCAGTGAAACTGCTTCGTACTATTAACTAACACTAGTTTTAGTCAAAAAGAATTGAAAGTCAATTTAACTTTGATCTATGAATGAAAAAACTTTCTACCATAGTCCATGCATGGAGACAGAAAATATTGCCTAGAACTGGCAGATAGAAAAAGTATTTTTAATTTCACTGGTCTTCAAAGAAAGGCCTGAGGCCAATGCCAGTCAGTCATTCTAATTTCTAAGTTTTCCTTGAGAGCATTCCTCTGTGCATAAAGTGTCTTTTGCAGGTTACTTTCATTTTACAACTCTTCTTCATAGCTCAAACTAGAGGTGCACCAATATATTGATTGCATATCAGATCAACATCGATAAAAGGAAAATTAACATTATCGGCTATCAGCTTTTTTTTGGCCAGTGTAGCCGATAAGGTTCAGTGATAAACATAATACACCTCCTGGCCAGGACCACACGCATGCACATGGACAGGAATGCAGCTGGGCAGCATGGAGAGCAACTCCTTGTAAGTAAGTCTGTGGAGGGGGTGAGGTACGGCAGGGCAGATCGAGGCCCCCATGGTGAGGGAGTGGGGCAGGGGCAGAAACAGGGGCAGGGGCACTGAACAGCT